CTCTCCCATCCCCAGGAGCTGAGGGGTCACTCAGGGGTCACTCAGGGGTCACTCAGGGGTCACTCAGGGATAATTTGGGGTTGGTCACTCAGGGTCACTCAGGGGTCACTCAGGGGTCACTCAGGGGTCATTGGGGTCATTCCTGGTTACCCAGAGCCAATGAAATGTGCTCTCCCATCCCCAGGAGCTGCGCGAAGCAAACGGAGCCTCCGGAGCGGGGGAGGGAAAGCTCCTCAATCCTGGGGGGAGGGGCGAAGGCTCAGGGGGCGGGGCTTTGAGGAGCCACGCCCCCGTCGGGTGGTGATGACGTCATGAAGCCCCGCCCCCCACCTGTGGGCGGCGTGGAGCACCGAGGACTCGTTGTGAGAGGCCACGACGAGGCCGAAACGGGACCCGGGGAGGGACAACTGGGGGAGGAACAAATCCAGGCACCGACGGTAACTGGGGAAAAGTGGGAGAAAAGTTGGGAAAGAAAGGGAAATAATAAGTAAATAAATAAATACAAATAAATAAATAAATAAACCAAGTATGTAAAATAAGTGAATGTATAAAAATAAATAAATAAAAACTAAATAAGAAGTAAATAAAAGAAATAATATATGTAAATGTGAAAATAAAATATATATTAAATAAAAATACATGTCTAAGTAATATATATAAATAAATATATGAAGTAAATAAATAAGAATAAAATGGGAAAATAAATTAAAAATAGAAATAAAAATGTAGAAATAAAAAATTGTATATAAAGTAAATAACTATATAATAAATAAATAAATAAAAATATAGGAAATAAAATAATTTTATATAAAATAAATAATTATATAATAAATAAATAAAAGTATATGAATAAAATAATTATACATAAAAATAAGTATATAATAAATAAATAAAAATATAAAAATAAAACAATTGTATATAAAATAACTAACTATGTAATAAATAAAATTATAAAAATTAAATAATTATATATAAAATAAATGTATAATAACTATATAATAAATAAGTAAATAAAATGGAAAAATAAACAATAAATACATAAAAATATAGAATTAAAATAATTATATATGAATATATAAATAAAATATATACGTAAAAAATAAAAAAGGAATAAAAATAAATTTAAAAAATAAAATAAATAAATCAAGTACATATAAATAAAATATATACGTAAAAAATAAAAAAGGAAAAATAAAAATAATTTAAAAATAAATATGTAAAAATAAATGAAATAAACAAATATATAATATATAAATAATATACAAATTAATAATACATATAAAAATAAATAAATAAGGAAAATAAAGATAAATAATAATAAATAAATCAATAAAATATAAATAAAAGAAATAAATATATAAATAACACAAATAAATATATAAATAAAATTAAAATTAAAACGGAAAAAATAAAAGTGAATGAAAATAAATAACATAACAAAAATACATAAATAAAATATAGACATAAAATAAATAAATATACACTAAAAATGGAAAAATAAAACAAATCCCCAAATCCCACCTGTCAAACCCCCCCCCCCCGGGTCTCACCTGTCCGAGGTGAGCTCAGGTGAGCCCCAGGTGGGGGGTTGGCGCCCCCCGGCGGCCGCTCGGGCCCTCTCGTACTCCAGGTAAGCCCCGCGCACCAACTTCACCCCGAAGGCCACGCCCAGCCCGGCGCAGAGGGCGGAGTCAGCCCGGAGACGCTGCTCCGCGTCCTATTGGTCGGAGGGGTCGGGACACGCCCACCCGGGAGTGGGTGTGTCCCCAGGTGTGTCCCACCCATCCAGGTGTGCCCCCAGGTGTGCCCAGGTGTCCCCAGGTGTGTCCCAGGTGTGCCCCCAGGTGTGCCCCAGGTGTGTCCCCAGGTGTGCCCAGGTGCTCCCAGGTGTCCCCAGGTGTGTCCCAGGTGTGTCCCAGGTGCCCCCAGGTGTGTCCCAGGTGTGTCCCAGATGTGCCCAGGTGTGTCCCACCTATCCCAGGTGTGCCCAGGTGCCCCCAGGTGTGTCCCAGGTGTGTCTTGGGTGACCCCAGGTGTCCCCAGGTGCCCCCAGGTGTGCCCAGGTGTGTCCAGGTGTCCCCAGGTGTGTCCCAGGTGTGCCCAGGTGTGCCCAGGTGTGTCCCACCCCCCCAGGTGTGTCCCACCTGTCCCAGGTTTCCCC